TTTCTGATTAATTAGTTAACGGTTAACTATTCTGAGAACCTCTCCCTTCAGAAATACGGAACATTGACATCTTACCAAGACCAGAGTAGCTCCAGAGGGCCTTGAACAAGATGTTGGGGTCAACACCCTTTCTGTCAAGATTTTTGTTGCTAAGTGAACTTCTGTTCACATTGCCTCCCAATGGCTGCCTCACCAGCCCCACAGGAAGAAGACTATTAGTTCCTGAGTGTGGACTATACAGATATGTCCGTGTTTCCAAGATCTAATATTAGTTCTTACTCTGTTCTCTTGTAAAGAGAGCGTTTATTCAATTGCTAATGATCAGAGGAATCTGCACATCACAAATACCAGGGATCTTTGTGAATAAATAGAGATTCCTGTGTTCTGCACGAGACATTATTAACCAGATGTCTTGAGGCTGCCTTGATGGAACCCATATTTAAAAAAACACCTTGCCAGGTGATTCTGATGGTAGAACATCAGTTGTAGATCAAGATTTGGGAAACAGTTACCTAGATGTTCTTTGGAGCTGGGAGAGGCATGAGATGGGAATGTGAGGGGAAAACCCAGTTGAACAATCCAGGTGTCCCAAGATTTTGAAACACTTACACAGACTTTTGCTTATCTAGTAGCAGTGGGAACTCTTAGGTAGGGATAGATACAGGAGAGATCTCCAGACCCTCCCTTCTCTGGAATGTACATTCTAGAATGAAGGGGAATTTCTGGATTTAAAAAAACAAAGTTCTTTGTTCAGATGCACTTAGACATTCCCTCTGCGTGAGCTCACGGAAAATAACCAAGCTCCTAGGGGGTCTCTCCCAGTGAGGTCATAGAACTGAGGGTGAAGCAGGACTTCCATTTCCTTGCTGTGTGCTGTCCCAGTCACAAGGTGGAGCTCGATTTCCAATGAGTTAGTTTTCATCAGCACTTGAGACCAATAGAGGGACCCCAAAGCTGGTCATACCAGGATTGCTTACTGATGCCGCCTTTTGACTCTTTCAGCTTTCCCTGTCCTCATAAGTCCAGATTAGAGGTTTGCAGTGTCTACATGAATGGGTCGCACTACCTCAAGCAGCCTGGATCCATAAGCTATGAAACTTTCCTGGTATAAAGGAAAAGGCACCTGAATTTGATTGATAGTTTTTTTAACTTTTAAAATGTGGAATATAACAGACCTAAGGGGGTAATAAAGAATAAAAGATAAACATGAATATCAATACGTTTTTATTAAAGAAACACCTATGTTCCTCCAGAAAGTCAAGACAGAGATCACTGTCAGCATTCCACAAGGCACCAGTCACAACATGCTTTTTCCTCATCATGTTCTCTCCGTCCATCCAACTCCAACCACTGTCTTGACTATTACGGTAATCATTTCATCACTTTATGGTTTTGCTGTATAGTTTTCTATCCCTAAACTGTATAGTTCAATTTTGTTAATCAAAATTATTTTTAATATAGGGGCCGGCCCTGTGGCGCAGCGGTTAAGTTCGCATGTTCTGCTTCTCGGCGGCCCGGGGTTTGCTGGTTCGGATCCCGGGTGTGGACATGGCACTGCTTGGCAGCCATGCTGTGGTAGGCGTCCCACGTATAAACTAGAGGAAGATGGGCACGGATGTTAGCTCAGAGCCAGGCTTCCTCAGCAAAAAGAGGAGGACTGGCAGTAGTTAGCTGAGGGCTAATCTTCCTCAAAAAAAAACCAAAAAAAATTATTTTTAATATAAATGGAATCAAGCTGTACATACTCTATGTCTTCTGTTATTTCCTCAACATGATATCTGAGATTCACCCATGTTGATGTAGGGTTTTTTTTAGTTTATTGCTGAATAATAACTTACTGTCTGAATTCCCTACAATTTGTTCATTCTATTCTGATGAATTTGGGGTTCTTTACTTTGGGCTACCATGAATAATTCTGCAATGAACATTTGTGAACACAGATGCTGCTGAACATAAATACATATAATTCAGGGTATTTCGGATTGCTGGGTTTAAGAAAGTCTTTTAAAGAAAGGTCTTAACAGGAATTTCAAGTTTTACACAAAAGAAAAGAAAATAGTATAATGAATCACCAGCTTCACCACTTATAAATATTTTGCCAATGTTATTGCATTTTTCTTCCCCTTTCTTTTTTCTACTCTTGGATGTTTTAAAGCAAGTTTCAACCATTCCATCATAAATTGCTTCCGTCTGTATCTCTAAAAGATAAGGACTTTAAAAACAATAACCCCAATACCACTACTACACCCAAACAAATTTGCAGTAATTTCTTGATTGCATTGATCTTTCCTGGGCAGCCTGATCAGGCTTCTATATAGGCACCAGGAAAAGGTGTCTTCCTAAGAGAGATTAGCAATGGGCCTTTAACCCCCTAGCAATAGATAAGAGCATGGAAGTCAACTAAATTATGCTATCTTTTAATTTACCCTACAGATAAAACCACACGCACACAAAGGGACATGTGTGTACACAGTTATGCATTGTTGGTAACAGCACAAGATTAGAAACAATTTAAATGTTTATTAACATGTGAGTGATAAATTTTGTTTCATCCGCCTAATGGAATACCATGCAAGTATTATAAAGAATGAGGAAGCTGTTTACGGACTGATGTGACACAACCGTTACGTCTTATTGCTTAGGACTTACTTGCATCTAGCTGGAAGGATGGCTGTGAAAAGTATTGTTTTAGGATGATCAGTTTCTACCCACTTCTGTTAAAGAAGGAAGGGGATGAACATTGGGAAGAAGCTGGAAGTTCTTACCACATCCTACCCCTGTTTCTACTCAACATCCCTGCATACTCTTCTCCCCAAACAGAAGTAGTCCCATCATTCTCAAGGTCAAGGCCCCCGAAATTTTATTTTGGACATTTTTGACTCAGTCAAGTCTAGAAGTGTTTCTTTTCTTTTCTTTTCTTTTTTTTTGATGAAGATTAGCCCTGAGCTAACATCTGCTGCCAATCCTCCTCTTTTTGCTGAGGAAGACCGGCCTTGAGCTAACATCCATGCACATCTTCCTCTATTTTATATGTGGGACGCCTGCCACAGCATGGCTTGCCAAGCGATGCCATATGAGCACCCAGGATCTGAACCGGCAACGCCCAGGCCACCGAATCAGAACGTGTAAACTTAACCGCTGTGCCACCCAGGCAGCCCCAAGAAGTGTTTCTTTGTGGTGAGCATTCCATAAACTTAAAAGAACCCACAGCTTCCTGAGATCCAATATACAATGACGCAATGGGAAGTGGGCACCCACAGTGAAAACTCCCAATGAAGAAAAGAAAAAAGGAGAGGATGTAGCTGGTACTATTCTATTGCAACTAACCAAGGCTGGTGGGCAGGAATAGCAAGAACTCCCTGCCCTGCCAGTGGAGGAAGTTTCTCAATTAGCCAATTGGAAGCACTGGTTCTCTATCTACAGGATGTATACTGTCCTTCATGGCTCCTGGCTTTGCCCCCTTCATTTCTTTCTTATTCTTTATTTTCTATGGCCACACCTTAGTTAGGCATTAAAGAGTACACATTTCTTGGGAACTGGAAAGCATTTCTAAGAGTCAAGGATGCAGATGAGATGGGTAAGCTGCTCTGCATTGGAATTGCAAAGACTTTAGCAGTGACAGGAGGGAAAGGGAGAAGGGCTTTTGAAAATAAGATTGATATTTATTTTGAGTTGTTTCTTTTGCCAGAACATCAGGAAAATATGTTATGCACTGAAGGACAATTGGTGAGTGATTATTTACAGAGAGCAAGGAAAAAGACCCAGTACTATTGTGGACGGATTTATTTCAAAACAAAGATGTCAGGCAACAGTTAGCCAGAGTACTTTAGCAGAAACCCTAAACCACAGGTGTTCATAAAATGTAAACCACGTGGGAATTTGTAAAAATTGTGGGCACGGGGGTGAGAGTTCACTGGGTGTGGCCCAAAGCATGATAGGAGGGTCAGAGATAATTTTAACTAGACATTGAAGGTTCTCACTTGACACCTGGGTGATACAATTGTTTATTGATTCATTAATTCCACAACTATTTATTGAGACTCTGTCACATATCAGGCACTATTTTACACATAGGATATGGAGATCCATCAGTGAACGATACAGTCCAAAATCCCTGCCCTCGGCTTACACTCTCATTACATGAAGGAAACCATACAAGCGCTGTACACAGTTATTATACTGTTTCATGCCAATAAGTTTGGCAGTTTCGATGAAATGGCTAAATTCTTTGAAAGTCACAGTTTACCAAAACTGACGGAAGAGGAAATAGAAAATCTGAATAGTCCAATAACTGTTAAAGAAATTGACCCTGCCATTAAAACCTTCCCAGAAACAAAACCTGAGAACTGATTGGCTTCACTGATGAATTTCTCTAAACATTTATAACAGATGTAACACCAGGGAGTAGAATGAGAGGAGTCCCTTCCTGACTCCTTTCAGGAGGCCATTATAAGTTTGAAATAAAACCTAACTAGGGCATTAGAGGAAAGTAAAATAAGAGATCCATCTTTACATAAATTTAAATGCCAAAATTCTAAACAATCTAGTGAGATTAATCTCAAATATGTAAAATACATCATGACGCAGCATGATTTATTCTAGGAATGCAGGGTAGTTTAACATTCAAAAATTGATCAGTGTACTTTGTGATGATGTAAATAAAAGGATAAAAATAATAGGGTCATCTTAATATGTGCCGAAAATGCATAGATACAATCCAATAGCCATTCATGAGCAAAAAAAGAAGACTCTTAATAAAGTAGGAATAGAAAACTTCTGTAACTGATTAAAAGAAAATAGCTTAAAAAAAAAAAAAAACCCTACAGGGATTGGCCCCACGGCTGAGTGGTTAAGTTCGTGAGCTTCTCTTCAGTGGCCTGAGGTTTTGCCGGTTCAGATCCTGAGTGCAGACATGGCACCGCTCATCAAGCCATGCTGAGGCGGTGTCCCGCATGCCACAACTGAAAATACACAACTATGTACAGGGGGGCTTTGGGGAGAAAAAGGAAAAATAAAATCTTTAAAAAAAAAAACCCTGCAGCAAACATCCTACTTAATGGTGAAATTGTAAAGTTTTCTCCTTAATAGATTCTCTCATTTAAGCATTACAAATTCCCCAACACTCTTTCTCTTGTTCTCGTTTCACACCTCCACTGACACCGGGTTATAGGCTGAGGTCCAAAAAGCAAAAATGACACGAATAGTACCCTTATGTCCTTCTTGTCTCCCAATCAGGGGACATCAAAGTACTTCATGCTGAGTGGCTCAGGATGACCCAAGGTAAGGTGAAGCTGGAACTGGGAGCAAGGTAGGAGAAGGCAGAACTCAAAAATGTCCCCCAGGTCCCCTTACATTGCCTGTAGCTGGACTTCTGCAGGGGATGAAGAAGATTTGGTTGTTGTGTCAGTGGTCTGGGCTGAGTCCTCACTCAGGGCCCTCTCCAGACTGGCTGGCAGGGAGTGGATCAGTCTCTTTCGGAAGTCTCGACCCACGAAGACATAGAGTATTGGGTTGAGGCAACTGTTAAAGAAGGCCAGGGAGCTCGTTGGGATAAGCAGGACAGCAATGATTCTGTACTTACCACCAAAATATATTTCTTTGATCCAGACTGTGTCCAGAAGGGCCAGCAGTTGAAAGGGGAACCAACAGAGAAAGAAAGAAGCCACAACAGCAGTGAGGACCCGTAAGGTACGATTGGATTTTATCATAGCTTTTTTGTGCATCTTGGCAGCAATGAGCCCATAGCAGATAGCGATGATGGACATCGGCATACTGAAGCCAATGATAAACCGGATGATCCCTCTGGTTGTCATCACGGTGATGAACACCTTAATCCTCTCTTCCATGGTGTTACCCCAGGATCTAAAGTTGAAAGTACAGTATGTATTCCCTTTCTCATCCTTTGCTGTAGTCACGAAAATGAAAATTTGGAAGGTAAGGAGTACAGCAAGAACCCAGGGTCCAATGATCAGCTTTGTAGCCAGACCTACAGTGCGGTGGTTCTGGGCCCAGACGGGATGCAGGACACAAATACAGCGGTCTAGAGCAATGAAAGCAATTAGGAAGACACTTCCAAACAGGTTGATGTCCACCACACTGTCAACTAACTTGCATAGGAACCAGCCAAAAGGCCATTGCTCTCTCATGGCCATTGAGACCATGAGGAATGGAATAGTAGCACTGAAAGAGAAGTCAGCTATGGCCAGGTTCAGGTAACAGAGGGTGGTGACTGTGCGTGCCATCCGGAATCCAGTCACCCAGATCACAAGCCCGTTGCCCAGGATGCCGAGGACAAAAGTGATCCCAAGCACCACCAATGAGAGGATATTCACAACAGCGTAGCCAGGAGGCTCATGGGGCTCCTCACCAGATCCATTCAGAGGGATGGAGAAGTTGGTTTCCATCTTGCTGACACCTGAAACATTTCAGCAATGACCATTTCTTAGCTGTGGAACCATCTTACAGCATCCCCATTCGTGAGCAACCTCAACTTCCACTAAAGCTCTCACTCCAACCAGGATACTCACACTACTGAACCTTCTGGCCAGTCATGCTATAAAATGTCCACCAGCAGAATACTGAACTGAAGGTGCATAGACAACAGAAAATTGATGGCAGGCAGCTTCAGCAGAGTGAGGGAAGCACCAGACTCAGAGTGAGCAGGTTCACATCTTCTTCCACCCATGACTTAATGCACAGATGTTGGCAAGCTGTGCAGCCTCTTTCAGCTCCAGGTTCTCTGAGACTCCCAGTTCCTGTCCTCCCTACTCTGAGGACCCTTGACCTATTGTTTGGTTAGTCTTTAAAGTTTTAGAGTTTGATTTGAGTTTAAAGTTGAAGAGGATCTTGGACAGTTACTGGTAATATGTAGTAATATGTTACATCTTGTGATTCTGTGCTAAAGGAAGTAAGTGAAGGGGGCCCTGTCTCTATGTTCAACCCTCTGTTTTTCATTGTCTCTGTTTGTTATGGCACTCTCCTCTATTTGGGGTGCAAAGAATTTTCACCCATTGTACGGCTTTAGCATTCTGTGGGACAAGAGTATGAGAGTAGTAAGTTTTGTTAATAATATTTATGGGGTTCTTATTAGAGATCATGCATTGTGTCAACTGCTGTATATAGGGATTCATTTGATCTACATGACATAGTGTTCATTATTTCTAGTTTTTATAAGAATAAATTCATAATTGTTCAGAGCAATGATGAAACCTGCCAAAGGTCATTTAAGTTGTAAGTGGTAGAGGAAGGACTTCAATCCTGCTTGATCTGATTTCCATGTCTTTTCTCCACTACACAACTGTGTATTGCTGGTTGCAAGCAACATTGCTGGTGCCCACCCAACATCCATTCCCCTATTCTTCTCTGCTACCAAATCACAACTTTGTTTAGTCACTCACCCATCAGGGAAGATGTCCCTTGCTCCATCTTTGGAGGCAAATTGAGATTAGTCTCACTAGAAGCTGGAACTAGTATCCCCTTTGCTTTACAAGAGATTGTATTAGCAGTGGGCACATGACTAAATCCTCGACACTAACACCATGGAAGATATCCTGGGGAACTTCTGGGATAGACTTCCTTGCTCTAAGGATGAGAATCCAAAAGGTGTAGTGTCTGCCTCTGGATCAGGTCACACCTATAACTATTGCATCCAAATTCAACCCAGAGGTCTGTTTGAGCCCTGTGTCCATGCCACTTGGCCAAATTTCCTAACAGTGTAGTCAGGTAGCCATATCAGAAACATCCAGGGTGGCTTTAAAAATGTACATTCACGGGGGCTGGCCCTGTGGCCGAGTGGTTAAGTTCGCGCACTCTGCTGCAGGCGGCCCAGTGTTTTGTCGGTTCGAATCCTGGGCGCGGACATGGCACTGCTCATCAAACCACGCTGAGGCAGCGTCCCACATGCCACAACTAGAAGGACCCACAACAAAGAATATACAACTATGTACTGGGGGCTTTGGGGAGAAAAAGGAAAAAAATAAAATCTTTAAAAAAAATGTACATTCATGAACCACACCCTAGAATCTCTTTGAATAAAAGTTAGGGTGATTTCCTATGGCCTCAAAAATTTGAGAACCATCTTACCCTAGGCTATTCTGCTTCTTTAAGAGAAATAGCAGTTACAGAGCATCTGTTCACATTTAATACTCATAATAATATTGCAGGACATCCATTATCATCCATCTTTTATTGGGGGGAGACTATGGCCTAAGGGTTTCAGGGCTTTGTTTAATGTCATGCCCAGCCGGTCAGTGGATGTAGCAAGCTTTGAAATCTAGATTTAACCAACTCCATAACCTCTCTCTCTGCCTCTCTAAAGTGCTGCCTTTTCAATGGATTCCCCCAAGACTACCGGGAGATGATCACACCCTAGGATATTGATTTTTCTCCCTCTGCCCTTCCCTCCTTCGCTTTCTCCTTTCCCTTTTGTTCTTCCTGTCTTTACCAGTCACTTCCACCAATGTTTTCTATGGGACATTGCTTTACATGTAGCGTGGGGTTTCTCAACCGTGATACCTTTGACACTTGGGGCTCTATCGTTCTTTGTTGTGGGGGACGGTACCTTACATTGTAGGATGTTTAGCAGCATCCATGGCCTCTGCCTATCAGAAGCCAGTAGCACCCCCTCCCTCCAGTTGTGACAACCAAAAGTGTCTACAGACATTGTCAAATGTCCCCTGGAGGGCTTTCCCTCACCCCCAGTTGAGAGTCACTGTTACAGTGTAAGGAGTGCTGGGCTCTGGAGTTTGGTCAATCTGTATTCTAATCTCATCTCTGACCCCTGCTCACTGAGTTCTTAGTCAGTGACATCTCTTCCAACTTCAGTTTCCTCCTCCGCAGAATGAAGGTGATTTTGTGGTGACGACTGTGTTTCAGGTGAGGATTAGTGAGAACAGACATGGAAATCTTTTAAGTAGGACCGAGTGAGTCTTTAACAAATATGAACTCTCGATCCTCACCAGGCTCTATGTCTTGTCCTGGGGCCACATATTGTAGAAGCTCAAGTTCAGGTCAAGAACAATGCTCGAAACAGTAGTAGTACTACGTATGAACCTTTTCCACATGCCAAGAGCTTCTCTTTTCACGCTTATCATGACTCATCTAGTAGGGGCCCTCAGTATTGCAAGTGTTAATATGTATAATGCATCGAGCATACTATGTTTCATTGTAAATATGGAATAATATTAGTTATACAATTAGCATGGCCATTGTACAGAAGAGGAAGTTAAGACTTCAGCAGGTTATATTCATTGTTTAATGCCCCCAGTGAGGAAGAGGTAGGGTCAGAATTTGAGGTCAGCAGACCAATTCCACCAGAATTGTGCTCTTAACTCTCTCCCACCCCATACCTCCTCAACTGAGTCTGTTTCTCTCTACCTGCCAACTGGACACCCTGCAAGGCGCTCAGAAGACAGGATGCGCTTAATAATCTCTAAATCGTTGCTTTGAAAATGTTGATACAACCAGGAAAGACGATTGTGCAATGACAGCTGGGGAAAGGACAGTGGGGAAAAGTTGTAAAATTATGGGCCCACCCTTGTTGCAGCATTAAGGAGAGAACCTGTGACCACAGATGACACTCGCGTGGACTATGGTGGCTGCTATTTGTTGAATCCCAAATATGTGCCAGTCACTGTACATTTTATCGTCTCCAATTACAACATCTTTTCTTTTGCATAAGTATCCTCGTTGTGTGTTACAATAGGAAACCATGACCCTCGCGAGGGAAGTGGGTCACTCAATGTCACAATTATTAAGGGGCACTCTGGATTTTCAACCACAGATTTCAGATGGAAACTCAGCACTTCCTTGTTAGCTGATCTCCTCTTCTCCAGCATATTTGCATTTCCATGCTTCGAAATAATGCTTTTAGTTCTGCTTTCTTCTCAGACTTCCTAACTTCCCCCATCCTTTGTATTTTAATGAGAAGATCATAACAATTAGCTGTTAACTTTTTAGCCTTCTCTCACCCAAAGCCTGCCATCTAACTGCACCTGTTACAGTGAATAAAGAGTTCTTGTTCATTCCAAAGGCTGCCGCGCTCCCCATGTTTGCTCTGGATCCCTCTCTCTCTCATCTTCCCAAGAATTTTCCTCCTGCAGCATCCCTTTTCTTCTCCAAAACACTCCAAGGATCTTCTTTCCACTCGATCATTCTCACTGTCACATAAACGTTATTATATCTCCTCTCTTCAAAAGGAAGCCATCCTTGGCTTTTATTCCTTTCCAGCTTCAGCCCTATTTCTCCAAGAGGATTCTTTCTGTGAAGAAGATTCACAGCCAAACTTTAGAAGGGAGTGTCTCCACCTTCTCACCTCACATTTTTCTCCTAAACCCACTCCACATTGACTTCGATCCTCAGCACTCCACGGAATGCGCTCTTCTTAAGGATGCTCATGGCCTCTATGCTGCCTCCAGTTCTTACCCTGATATCTCAGTGACATAGGACCCACTTAACCTCTTCCTCCTTCTAGAGACAGATTTTTTTATGCCTTGAGATGAAAAAATGTACAAATAACACAATTTTGGTTGTCTTTATAGCATACTTGGCCGCCTCTTCTCAGTCCAGTTTACTAGCTTTTTTGTCTCCAAGTTGGACTCTAAATTTTGAGGCATTCTAGGGCTTGCAACTACCTCCACCCCCGACATCCTCTATACAATCTCATGGCTTGTAACATCATGCTGATAACTTCTGATCTAAACCATCAGCCCTGGCTTCTCCCCAGAGCTCTAGCCTGGTATAATCAACTGACTTAACATCTCCCCACGGGAATCCCAGAATCACCCCAAACCTAACATTGCCCAAACCAAACTCTAAATTGTTCCATCCTCCCAAGTCTGCATCTCTCCCAGTATCTGGATCTATTGGGAGCTTAAACATTCAGTTGTTAAAGCTCCAAATCTGAAACTGACCCTCGATTTTCCTTTCCCTCACCACCCCGTCCAATCCAAGTCTGTTCACTCTATCTACAGAGCAACTGAATCCACACCCGGGATCATGTCCATCACCACCTCCCTTATCCATGGCCTCATCTGACCTGCATATTTGCACTAACCTTGCAAATAGCTTGTTCCTGCTCCTGATGCTGCCCCCTACCCCAGTCCTTTCTGACAGAAGCCAAATGGTCTTTCAAAAACACAAATCAGATCCTGACATTATCCTGCTCAACACCCACCAATGGCTTCCAAACTCCTAATTCAAGTTTACCAAGCACTCCTGGATCCGCCCAGTGTGTCCCTCATACCTCACACATCCACTCTCCCCTCACACACTGTGCTCCATCCACCCTGAATTCCTTTGATTCCTTGAACACGCCAAACTCATTGCCATCTCATTGCTTTTGTGTCTTCTGTTTCTCTGCCTACAATGCTTTTCCTTCCAGGCTTCCCACATCTGGCTCTTTCTGAATATTCATATCTCAGCTTAGACATTTCATCATCAGAGAGGACCAGCCTGACCCATAGTGAAAATCTGCTACCCCATGCACAGGCCATCTCACCAGACACTTTTCTTATCGGTTTATCCATTCATTTGTTTCCATTATAAATACCATCCACTCAGGATACGAGCTCCACAAGATGACTAATTCCTTTCAACACTACATCTCTAGAGTAATGCTGTCCAACACATAAATGTGAACCATCAAGGCAAGTCACAATGTGAGTTACACATATGTGACTTACAGTTCCTTTTACAAAGTGAAAGAAATTATTTTTAATAACATATTAATGATTTTTAATAGCATACTTTATTTAACCTATCAAGAAGAATATCATTTGAACACGGAACCAATATAAGAATTATCAATGAGATCAATGAGATATTTTACATTCTTTTCTCGTGCTAAGTCTTTGAAGATCCTAACTGCATTTTACACCTACAGCACATCTCAGGTCAATGACCATGTGCGGCAAGTGCATATTATATTGCGTAGCCCAGCTCTAGAGTTTAGGAGGCATCGGCCACATAGGAGATGTCCAAATAACAATTTTTAAATTGTCAGGCCCCCACCTTACCACTAGCTGAGATCCTTTTCCTGTGGCTGGTTCCTGGCTTCTTGCTGAGCAATGTGGGTGGAAGGGCTTCTGCAAATGCTTTATTGAAAGACAAGGGGGAGGGACAATGAAGCTGGAACCTATCAGGTGGCAGAAACTCAGAGGATCTTGCAATTTCCAAAAAGCAACCTGGAGATGCTGACAGAATAACTCTCCTTAGAAACTTAATGCCTGAACATTCCCCTCAGCTCCAACCTTCTGTGGGAGACAGGAGATCAGTCCTCTGAATACCAAGGGTCAAGGAATCTGTGTGTCCATGCCTTTTCTCCTTCAGAGATTCAGGAAAATGAAAGACACAATTGCTGTGGTGAGAAGAATTAGGGGCAGGTAAAAAAAAAAACACAGATAATGATGGTTAAACAAAATCTTTTTTCTCTAATCACATGACTCTCTGACACCAAATTTGTGGGTTTTTTCTACACCAAGCAATTTTGTAATTCCCTGTGGATCCCACCTGGGTGTCCTACAATTGAATTCAATTCTGACAGTATCTATCTGGAGCTAGCATCGGATCCCACAAGTTAAAAGGCTCATCCCACAAGACTACCCCCACTGCAGATGCCACTTGCATGTCCCAGGTGGCTACCTATACTCCTGTCTGACCAGCTATAAATCTGGGGTTCCCACGACCAGTTCTCAGGTTCAACAATTTACTAGAATGGCTCACAGAACTCAGGAAGGCAATTTACTTATGTTTACCACTGTTTTATATAAAGGATACTAGTCAAGAAGAGCCAAATGGAAGAAATTCATAGGGCAAGGTATGGGGGAAGGTTTGTGCAGAGCTTCCATGTCCTCTCTGAGCGCATCACCCTTCCAAACCTTGATGGGTTAACCAACCCGGAAGCTCATCAAAACTCACTGTTCAAGAGTTTTTTGAGGAAGATTAGCCCTGAGCTAACTGCTGCCAATCCTCCTCTTTTTGCTGAGGAAGACTGGCCCTGAGCTAAGACATGTGCCCATCTTCCTGTACTTTATATGTGGGATGCCTACCACAGCATGTCTTGCCAAGTGGTGCCATGTGCGCTCCCGGGATCTGAACCAGTGAACCCTGGGCCACTAAAGCAGAACATGTGCACTTAAGAACCGAGCCAATGGGGCCAGCCCCTGTTCAAGAGTTTTCATAGGGAGAAATCTGCAAAACCGCTTCCACCTCCCCTACACAGAGGTCAGCATGTTGGACTAAAGGTTTCAAGCTGTAACCCCTGGTCATTCTGAGGCTATCTAGGGGTGCCACTGTAAGTCACCTCATTAGCATAAACTCTGGTGTGATCAAAAGGGGCTCCTTATAAATAAAAAAAGAAAAAAAATCACTCAAGAAATTGCAAGAGTTTTAGGAGGCTTGTGCCAGGAACCAGTGACAAAGACCAAATACATTTCCTATTATACCACATTGGTGCTAAAAGAAATGGTAACCAAAAACAAAGAGAGAGGTACAGGAGATGAGTGAGAGAGCACCATTCACTGAACACCATCACCGTAATCTCCTAGCCTGCTCCTGAAGGGGGTAATTTGTGAGCCACTGATCTGAGATTATAGGCCCTTCCTGAGGTTTTAAGCACCATCAGAATGTTCTATAGAGTTATTCTCAAACCCAATGGAGATATATATATCTCCAATATAACCATGGAGAAAAGGAGAGAGCCAGAAAACAAATGTCCAAGAGAAGGAGATAAAGATAATTTTCTTTGTTTCTCCCATATCACTGTACCAATAGGATGTTTTCAAGTCTAAGTTATAGGAAACCTGTGAATCACTTAAATCATGAAGAAATTTATTATTTTAAGAAATTTAGAAGGAGTCACATTCTGAGTTTCAACAGGAATTGAGTTTAATTTAATCCTTCCATGGCACCATTTTATTAGTTTTCTTTCAAGGGATTCTTGAACATGACTACAAGATGGTTGCCATTGTTCCAGACATCACATCCCCATAACCTCCCAAGCCACAAGAATGAGGATGAGCATAAAAATTGACTTCACTCACATGCCTCTCTCATTTTATAAGGAAGGAAACTTTTTCTAGAGTCTCTACGGGACCTTGTCTTACCTTTCATTGGCAGAACTGAGTGACATACCCGTCTCTAGTCCAATCTTTGGCAAAAAAATAACAATTAATTAATGAGGTTGCCATGATTGGCTTCTAATGAAAGTACATTTCAACTGAATATAATGAAGTTCACTTATCAAGGGATAAGGGTGGCAGGTATTATATATGTATAGCCTCCAGAGAAGCGCTCCCATGCTGGCTCATAGGGACATAGAGGTTAATCAATCATGGGCTCTGCCCTAGAGAAGCTGACCAGTTGGATGGAGAGATGAGAGTGCAGTGCTTAGAGAGGTGGAGTGGGGGTATATGTAGTGATGGAGTGATGACTGGGTCATTACGGGATCTCCCAAAAGGAAGAGCCAACTGAGACTGACAGGGTCTAGGGTCACTTCCTGGAAGAGATAGCATCTAGGCTGAGTCTTAGAGCCCAAGGTAAAGAGGCGAAAGAAAATTGCTTTACAGGCAGAGGGGAGGGAAAATGCACAGGAAACAGGCCAAGAAATAGGTTTCATTTGGTTGTTGGAGCACAGATGGTGGGGCAGAGAGCAATAAGCAAGGGAGCTATAGAGGACGGCAGGGCCATCTCTCAGAGGGTCTTGAATGCCACAAGAAGGACTTGGAATTTCTCCTTCAGAACATAAAAAGCCATTTAAGCAGGAGAAGGACTTGTCACTTGTGTGTTTCAGGGGAAGAAACCTGTCCTAGTGTCCATCAAAGGGATGGATTTGAGAATGTTCCCAATTGGAGGCAGAGATCTTAGGGTGGAGAATGTTGCCAGAGATCCAGGTGAAGTTGTTGAAGAGCTACTCAGATTCCTTGACACCTGATATTGAAGGAGTTGAACTTTGGCATCCCACAGAGGATGGAGGTTGAGGAAAACAACCCATAGATAGTGGAGTTTCTAAAAGGGCCTAGTCTACTCCCCAAATGCTGTTAAAACAAGTGCCATATGAGTGTATTCTTGGGGCCATTGAGAAGCACAAGAGGCCTGGTTTCCTGTTCCTCAATTGGTTTCAGCTCATTTATCCCTTTCCCATCCCTTTGGGTATCTGCTGCTAAGACCGTTAGTCCAGAGTCACTCTCCTCAGACCAGAACTTAGAACTGTCCTTAGCAAGCCCACAGTCTGTGGAAAGTCCAGGTGAGAAATGTCTGGGGGCTGGGGAGCTAGACAAGGGTATGCTCCATAGCATGGTGGGGACAAAGACTCTTTGGAGTGAGTTGTAGAGAAATGTAAGGTGAAGAAATGAGTACAGCAAACGTTCCCAACTCTGTCAGGAGGTGGTGCTGTGAAGGAGAGCCAAGGATTTGGTTGGGAACTAAAGAAGCACGTGGACTTGAGGGATAAATTTAAAAAGAAAAAGAAGAAGTTCTAGACAATATTGGGCTGCTGCTGGGAGTGATGGAGTGGAGGGAAAATATTGATGCTGCAGGAGCGAGAAGAGATCAGCGAATGGGGTAAGATTTTGAGAAAGTGAGGGGGCCGGGATTCAGAGGACAACAGAGGACAGGTCTTGGGCAGAGCTGCTTGTTCTCTTGTTGGAGAGGCAAAGGCAGAGAGCGGTGGAGCAGGAGCAGACAGGAGGGTGGATTTGGTGGAGTGTGAGGCAAGGACATCAGCTGAGAGGGGATGGGAGAGGAGGTTCTAAGCTTCGAGGAGAAATCAGAAGGGGGAAAATAATTAATAGGTTCATGGGAAGAAAGAATGTAACAGGGAAGCGTAGATTTCCAGAGCAGTGATGCGCCTCCACATGAAGAGACTGGTCTGGATGTTCCTTGGGACCCATCAGCAGGGCTCAGCTCTGCTGCCTCAGGAACTGCAACCTTAGACCTTAGGCCAGTCACTTACCCTCTCTAAGTCCAAGTTTCTTCTTCTGTCACAAGGTGATAATGATGCTTAGCCAATTCAGAGCTTGTTGAGATCAGAGGCAAGAAGGTAAGAATGCGGTACAGTGACTGCCACGTAGGTCACAGGTTGCAGACCACAGGTTTTCTCCCCCACCCTCAAACCTTGGTGGAGTCACAATTGCACAGCTTTTCCTCTCTGGTGTGTCCCCTCCTCTCATTACAGACTCTTCCTGATTCATTGCATCAGTCTTTTCAAATGGTTGCCTTAGAGATTCTTGAGGACAGATAGCTCTCAGGGTGTCTCTGTGGTCGGATGGTGGGTGGGGCGGGAAAACCCCTCCAGGTTATTTCTGAGACTGTAGAGCATCGAAGTTCTGGAGAAATGTGAACCACGCATGGACCTTCAAATTGTCCGACAGGCACTGTGAAAAAGCAAGAAGAAACAAGTAAAGTTCATCTTTATAAAATATTTTACTTGATCTTCTATGACTAAATTATTATCATTTCAATCTGTAATCAATATAAAAATTATTATTGAGATATGTCACGTTAGTTTTCTCATCCTAAATCTTTGAGTTCTGATGGGTATTTTCCTCTTATGTCCCTGCCCAAATAGTCCTAGGCATATTTCAAGTGCCCCAGAGCCTGACATGGTGAGTGGATGCTGTGTTAGAGAGCTCAGCCTGGAGGCAGGATGGCAGGGCAGGGGCAGAGAGAGAGCTTTGCTGGAATCTGACAGCCTGAGCTGTTGGGTGACTTTAAGCAATTAACTTAAATGTTCTAAGTCTCAGTTTGTTCTTCTATAAAATGGGTATAATAATAATAAGAAAAAGAATAAACTAACATTACTCAGTGTGTACTGTGTGTCACTCACTGGCCCATGCTTTCTGGTATTCACCTACTTCCTCCCCACGACAACCATTTGAGAAGGTTGCTGCAAGGGTTAGAAGGGAAGAAAAGCTCTTTGCAAGAGCCTGGCTTGTGGTCTGCATACTGAATCTAATCAAATCTCACACCCAGCAGGCATTTGGACAGAACACTGTCATGTGCTTTTTCGTCCCCAAGAGTACTGAGCCCAGCCAGTGGATGGAAAAGTGCATCCCATACATCA